ACAAAGTCAACTCAATGGCAGCTATTGATCTGGCACGTTTGGAGCTGTTCAGCAGCTCTCTGGAGTTCCATTGTACTTGGATCATATTAAACAGGCCCATCTCCTGCATGGTGAGATATATGATCTTCAGTATATGTCGTGTCCCTTCATGTTCTTTGTTACCCACGCTAGAAAACCCAATTCTGTTCCCCATGTAGCCCAAATATTGCTTATCATTCAAATCCCAGTACACCGTTCACCTTCTCTCAGAAGCCTTTCTGATTATGGCTACCATGTGGTAACTGGTTCAAACAAGTCTTCAGATTGATTTGATTCTCTGTTGTGAATTTACATTTGTACTCTAAATATAGTGACTCAGACTTGACATTTTAATAAGATCCCCAGGTGATTCTTATGTATGCTGGAATGAACCAGTTTGAAGGCCTGGCTTAAAGCAATATAGTGCCTTACTTGTTGAAATCAGACAGGAAAAAAATACTAACACCCAGGGTCCACTTCAGAGATTCTGATTTAACTAGTCTGGGGTAGTTCTTGAGCACTGGAGCGTGTTGATTTGAATGGTCAGCTATGATTGAGAACCTCTATTTTCAAAGCTCTCTGTGGAAGAAAAAAATAACCTGGAAAAACACCTAGAAAGCCAGAATTGTTCCTTTGTTTCTTAGTCCTCCAAGTGACTTCAGACAATCATCTTGACATTTATCTTCTCCTTTTGGCGAGCTGCTGTCTGCTGCTGCAGCTGTTCCCTGTCTTCCAGGCTAATCCTTTGCCTGGTTTGCTCTTCCTGGAACTTTTTGGTTCTTGTTACCATATCTCTTACTTTCTCTTTGAACAAGTCTCCGCTATCGCTAGCTTTCTGTGACTTTCTCAGTTGCAGTCTTGTCTTCACCTGGAGTCTGATTCAAGCTTCTGATCCTGCCACGCCAGAGCAATCCCCTCTTTGGATTGTCTTGTATCCACTAACTTGACACTTGATAACTCTGTGAAATTTTATTACCTCGGTCTCCTGATACATTGTTTGGCCTCTGGGGTTCACTCTTACTCAATTGGTGCCTTAGAACAAATCTTCGGTGTTTGGCACCCAGTATTTGTAATTCTCTCACCTCTCACCGTAAGCTATTTAGCTTTTGTTGACATGTTTTTCCTTCTAGAACCTAAAGTGGAGTAATTGCTTACTAAGAGTACTGGTTAATTCACAGACATGTAAGTTTATTAAGTAGGGCCAAGTTTGTGTTCCATAGATGGATAAGAAGCTGATTGGTTGTCTTTTCATCAGGATATCTTAATTGTTTTTCCTCTACTTCGAGTTTCTGTGGGGTTATCTGATCGGGATCGTCTACTGTTTGGATACTGCTCTTGTCAAGTACTGGCCAGATTATTCCATCAGCATATGAGTATGCTGACACGAGGAACCTGGTTCTCTTTAATAGAACTATAAAAGAGCCCATGCTCTTCTTTCATTTGGTAGCAGATTGTTGGAGAATGCCTTCCGTAGCCTGAGTACAGGAAACCGTCTATTCTTTTTATGCTGTGTCCAAACCCCTTGCCAATCTCTTGCTGACCACAGGCCCTCTAGCTAAGGTTTACACTATGTGGAAAACTAATGTTCCCCCATTTCATTCCCCATTCTTTGCAATCAACTTAAATCTTCTTGGTAGATTACAGTTTAACATGGCACCCCTCCCAGAGGGATATGTACGTTAGATGTTGTTGCTTAGAGGCAGCATAACATCTTGAAATTATAGCACTAAAACTGGAAAATAACAGGACCCTTTTGTAACCCCCAGAGGAGGGAGAAGTGACATTCATAGTCTCCTTAAATCACATTAGATTTAGTGCATCTCTGTAGTCCATCTTGTGAAATCTAAACATACATGAAAACAAACACCACAATCCTCAGCCAAAGAGCATTTGGGGACCACAGACTAATTTTTCCAATTAAGCTAAGCTTTTTAATTTTACAGTGAGAAAATTGAGACCCAGAGATGAAAGAAAGTCTAGAACCCAGGGTCTTTGAGTTACAGCCAAAGAAGAGTCGTTGCACCTCAGTTCTCAGATTCTCTACCTTTAAAAGAAGTTGGCATAGGATTTTTAATATTATTTCACAGATAAAAGTGGTCCAGCAGAGTCGTGTTTTGCAGATGTGCCTATTGAAATTCAGAGTAAACTCTCATAGGAAGGCATTCTAATAACCAGGATAAGGCGGAGCAAGGAACTGGAATAAACAGGTTAAGCATGGTGGTTGGATTAATGCAAGGCCCACAAAGGTCTGAGAAGACTGAATTGAAGATGAAGTCATGGTTAAGGTTACTTTTCAAAGTTTCCCAAGTAAGTACTGTTGGCTTTAAGGAAGGCTATCTCTTGAAATCAAGACCAGGGTAGCTTGGGCAAAGTTCCACACTGTGTATGAGTGCCCAGGAGGCTCATTTCCTCGTCGTTATCATCTTCAGAAGACCAAATAGCCAGAATTCTTGTTCAACAAATTTCTGAAGTCTCCTCATCATACTGTGGGTCAAGGCAGGCCAAGCCTTCTCATGCATTTTCAGTTCACTACTGCAGAGTAGCGCAGAAGCTGGGGACTGTTTCTCTTACTGTGGAGGAGGAGAATTTAGGAGAAACTCATTTCTTTCTCTGCCTTCTTGCTTCAGGAAGAGGATGGTAGAGGTGATGGGACACTAAAGGTTCAACTTTTGGTATGATTTAAAAAATTCATAACGTAAAGTTTGTAGGGAAGGTTCTGTTCAATGTCCACAATCAAGATATTAGAAGATTTGAAAGTCTTTGGTACTGATACTACACAGAAATATCTGAGGATCTCGCACTAACGCTAGCCTTCTCTGTGCGTTTGGGTTTGCCTTTCTTGCCCATCACACTTCCCACAAATTCTAGTCTTCCAAATGACTGCAGACAACCTCTGACGGTTAACTGTCTGCCTTGAACACATATGTGTACCTCCCTCTGTACCTTGCATTCTCTCATTTCATAGCTGATACGGTGGGTAAAGGTACTGTACTCATGGAGTCCATTTCCAATTAGCGCAGATTGACCCTGGGCTGAGCTTCAAATCTCCTCTTCTTGGAAGCAAAGAGAGCAGGTCACTGATTCGCAGAGCTTTCGCAATCGCAATCACATGCTCCTGAATTTCTGCCGTGGGAATCCTTTGGGGGGAAACTTGACTTCCTAGACTGGACAAAGTCACACACCATTTCTGGTAACTCACTTGAGAGACAAATGGAGTAAGGCTGGAGTAGGAAAGGGAAAAGATGGACTCGTGTCATGGAGTGAAATCTGCCTTGCTGAACAGAGCTTTTTATTTCCAGTATCTTACTGGGCATGGAATACTGGCAGCGTTGTCACAAGGGAAGGGACAGATGGGAAAGTGACATAGCTCTTGGCAACCAGGACAAGATATGGGAAATCTATAGAAGGGGCTGGGGATAGTGTTTTGAAGTCAGTATAAAACAGTTTATTCAGAGACATTCCTGAACATTCTGAAATTTCCAAACAGCTGAAGTAGAAAAGATGCCGATAGTTGCCATAAATTGTTAATAGTGAGTCAAACTTTACTCAGTTTAAAATCACAATGCTGTCTAAAGCCTTGAGGCTGAGGCTGATCTAAAGCGTAAATTTAGTTGAGTTGCCTGTTCTAGACTTTTTTAGCTATCAAGCTCTGAAGTTGGCTGTGTGTTATCCATAGAATTAGACACTTTGGGAAAAGTAGATGCTTTCATTTTTTGTTCCTTTTTTTTAATGGCTCTTGGCTAAGTGGAGAGATTTAGTGTCAATTAAGTAGGAAATGAGCATGGAATCGTTGATTTACATCAGGACCATCCATTAGGTTGTTTTTTTTTTAAGCCTTTTGGATCCCAGTAAAATATAAATCACTGGCATGAGAATGAACCCTCTAATCTATATGAATTTTTAAGAAGTCCTCGTGCAGCTAGTCATATTTCCTTCAATGAGACAGTGGAAATGCTTTCTGAAATTATGAATATTTGGAATCTCTAAATTAATAATATTGGTCAACCCTCCAAGCGATGCACTGTACTCCAGAAATAGGATTTATCATTATGAATTGGAAGGGTGGAGTATACAAGTAATGGTTTCTAGGAATAATCCAGCAAAATCTTTAATGACAAGGAGAGCTGAAACAAGTGTGTGAGGTGGAAATTGTGGGAATTAAAGAGGCAGAAATAGAAAAATGACAATAAATGAGTAAATGAAAGAAATGGAATAGAGAAACAGAGACAGACCCCAAAGAAGAGGAAGAGATGGAAGATGTGCATATGGTTCAAGGATCACCTTAAGGTTTTAATACGTTAACTTTCTTTCCCTTGCTTTTAGATTTTTGGAGGCAATTGGGCCTCGTATCTATGCTCAGAATCATAATGTTGTACACATTTTGGTAGCATCAATCTGGCATCTGACTATTAAAAATATCCATGGCATCTGCCACTTTCTGTCACCACTATCACCTAGAATTGGTTTATTCATTCACTCAACAAATATGTGTTGGGTTCCTATTAAGTATGCGACACTCTCAGAGAGGGTAGGGGTACAGCATTGAGAGGGGGAGAAGGTAAAAATCCTTCCTCTACTTAGTGGAGTTTTCATTCTGAATGGGGAGGGAAATAATACACTTATAACAAAAGATCATTTCAGATAATGGTAGATGCTCAGAAAAAATAAAATATATAATAAATGACCAGGGGCACTGCATGTGTGTGTATGTGTGTGTGTGTGTGTACTTACACTAATTTAATGTGGGTGCTAAGAGAAGGGATAACAAATGAGGTGACATTGAGCTGAGCCTTTAATGACAAGAATTCAATGACTAACAGCCTGAAGGATGGGCCTGGCCTGGCCGCCAGGGGTGGGGGCGCCATGGGCGCCGGGAGCGTCCCGCAGCATCTGCGAATGAGGGCGCCCAGGAAGTGATCTTTCTTTGCCACCACAGATCCCGCTAGGCACAGGGCAGGCGGCACCAGCAGGCTCGCGCTGCGCTACTCCCAGCCCTTGTCCTTGATCCTGTGGGCGAGCTCAATGATACATTTTCCTTCCTTATATTTCTGACTGCTCTCAAAGGCATGTTCGTATTTCCAGCCCAGGGTGGTTTTGCAGTTTTCACAGTAAATGTCCGAGACGGCGTGCAAGCCTGTGATCAGGACACGCTCCTCCGCTGGACCGCAGCTCACGTTCACCACAAAACTGAAGAGGTAGGCACTGCCCTGGCATCCCTGGAAGCATTTGGAGATGAGCTCGTCGTGCTTGGCCAGGTGGGCCCTGCAGTGGAGACAGCTATATGTGCGATGGCAGTTTGGCAGATAAGCTTGGAAGGTTTGGGATTTTGTCACCTGTGCCATCTCTGCTGGACACGCCTCACTCAGGGCAGGGCCGGCACCGGAAGAACGGCAGCTCTGCTGGCCTCTCTGACAGAAGGCAGTCCGGAAGATGCTGGCTAGAGCCAGCGGTGGTCCTGGAGGACGGGCGGCTTGTCCGGCCCCAGCCCTGGGGATGAGAGGAAACGTCACCACTGACGCCCCCGGCTCCGCGCCTGGCGCGCATGCCCCTCAGCCCCGCCCGCTCAGCGCAGCCCTGCTCCCGCGGCTACCCCGGCCTAAGTAACTAATTAACCCCGGGAGAATTTGACACACGTGGGTTCAGCATGAGTTGAAATTTACTCAATGAAAACTGGTTTTTGATTTTGTAAAGTATCAAATCCTACTTTTTACTGAAAAAGAAAAAAACGAAGGGAAGAACATTTGAGGTATAGGGAAGTTGTTCTTGTAATTAGGTGCTGCGCAGTCAGTTTCCACTCAATTGTTGTGACCTCGTGTACAACAGAATGAAACATTTCCCAGTCCTGCACCCTCTGTCTTCTAATCACTTTTAACCTATAGTCACCCCGTAGGATGGAGAAGAACTGCTTCTTTGGGTTTTCAAACTTTAAATCTTTTAAATGCTGCAGAGGGACTGGTGGATTCAAGCCATTGATCTTTTGATTGGCAGTTCAACTAGCCACCATGGGTCAATGTGCTACTTCCATTGGAAGTCGATTAATACCTAATTCTTTTTCAAATATTCCCTGCTATTTTTGTCTTATCTTATAATTTGTGGGTCTGAATTTTCTCATTTTTAAAAAACTCAGTTGATAAATTGATAAATTAGTTTAACTTCATAGCTGAAAATATAGTGGAACACCATATCTAAGAAATTAGAGCTGATTTGGTCTACCAATGAAACTTTCTGAATCAGTGCCCCAAATAACTCCAGGAACAGGTCTAAAAACCAAGACACCAAGGTTGGCTTGGAATGCAAAAGTTGGAGACAAAGAAGAAGGATTGTCAATTGGGGAAATATAAATGGCCTTGGTGATAGAAATGATACCAGAGACAGAATGATAGAATTTTGCAAGACCAATAACAAATACGTTTTATTCAACAACACAAACACATGGCTCTCTTAGAATGGAACACACAGCAATGAAATGGACTACATTTGTGGTAAAGACAATGGAGAACATTAATATCATCAGCCAAAACACGACCAGAGGCTGACTCAGGAACACATCATCAATTGCTCATATATAAGTTCAAGATGAAGCAGAAGAAAATTAAAACAAGTACAATGACATTGAGTATATTTAATCTGAAATCAGAAACCATCTCAAGAATACATTTGACATATCAACCATTAATGACCATTGACCAGATGAGCTGTGGGATGACATCAAGGACATCATACATCAAGAAAGCACAAGGTCAATAAAAAGACGGGAAAGTAAGAAAAGGCAAACATGGCTACCAGAAGAGACTCTGAAACGTGTTCTAGAAGGTAGAGTAATTACAGTGAACAGGAAGAAATGATGATGTTATGGCGCTGAGCTGAAGATTTCCAATGATGACTTGAGAAGACAAATTGAATAACATTAATGCCACCTAATCGTACACTTAAAATGGCTAATTTTATAGTATAGATTCTCCAGAATAAAAAAAAATAAAGGAAAAGGAAGACCTAAATACCTTCTCTTGAGAAATGTTTTTAAAATTGTATTATTAATTGGGAGTCAATGCATGTGTCATATTACTCCACTGTCCAATCACATCAAGCCTAATTGCACACTTGCTACCAAAAAGGAAGTGTTTGGATAAGATCACGGCAGGAGAAAGTAAAGATGGAGAACAGTAGAGATTTAACTGGCATGAACACTGGGTAATCCTTTCATTTCCAGGTTGAACAAAGGAGGGGAATAAACAAGGGAAATTGATGAAGACCAATCAGCGAAATAGGAGGAAAACCAGCAGATGCCCTGGATATAGAGAGGAAACTATTTCATTAAGAAAATTTCAATAATTTCTAAAGATGGCCATAACAATGACATCCATAACATAGATTTTTTTTTTCTTAACCTTTGATTCTGACACTTTCTCTTTAAGAAATGGATGCTATATCCTCCCACTTTTGAATCTGGGTGGACATTTTTATTGTTCTGATGAGTAAAGTATAATGGAAGTGAAACTACGAAGGGAGTACCCCCCAAAAAACCCCTGGAAGAAAGCTCTTCTGGGTGGAGCTTTCGTAGTATGCATTTTTCCAACTAGGTGAGCATCCAGCCCCTCCCCCCTCCCCCGGGAGGTTCTCTCTGGTCACAGTTTTTTCATAAAAGCAGTTTTGCTTGAACCTGGTATTTTGTGATGACCAATTTAAGAGGACAGCGTGCAGCTGTGAAATTTTGATTCCTGCTCAGTAAAAAAGCTGCAGAAACTGTTGTGATTCTGAAGACAGCTTACAAGTACAGCACTATGGGGAAAACTCAAAGGTATGAGTGGTTTTCTCGTTTCAAGAAAGGTGAAATCTCAATTAATGGCAAACCTCATTCTGGACGTCTGTCAACTTCCAGAGTGTGTGAAAATGTGGACAACATTTGTGCACTTGCCCTCAACGGCCAATGACAGACCCTTGAAGAGATGTTGGGCCACTGAAGGAAAGTTATTTGGACTATCTTGGAGCTCAGTTATTTTAATGGAAAATTTGGGAATGAGAAGGGCCCCTGAGAAATTTGTGCCTAGGGTACTGACTGACCAGGAAAAATAATGCCAAGTGGAAACATGCTGTGCTTTGAAAGAACAGCTCCGAAGCGACCCAGTTTTCCAATGTCATTCCTAGTGCCAAGACATAGTGCTATTCTTATGACCCTGAAAGCAAACATCAATCTAGTCAGTGGAAGACACCATCGTCACCTCGCCCTAAAAAAAACTGGTCAAGTAAAATCAAAGATCAAGACGATACTCATTTGTTTATTTGATGTGTGGAGGATAGTGCACTTGGAGTTCATTCACCAGATCAGACTGTTAATCAAGCTTCCTATTTAGAGGTTCTGAAAAGATTGCATAACAGCATATGACAGAAAAGGCCTGATTTGTGGCAGACGGGACTGGTTTTGCCACCACGGCAATGCACCTGCTCACTCAGCAATCTCAGTGCACCAGTTTGGGGCAAAAAAACAGCATGCCTCTCTTGCCCCACGCACCTTACTGACCTGACCTGGTCTGTGAGACTTCTTTTTGTTTCTGCGAATCAAGAGGGACATGAAATGACAGTGATTTGATGACTTAGAAGAGATGAAGAAAACAAATGAAGGAGGTGCTGTGAGCCATCCAAAAGATGAGTTTAAAAAATGTTTACAAGAATGGAATCGCAGATTTGACAATGTGTTAAGTGTAATGGAGAGTACTTTGAAGGTGATAAGGTTGTTTTTGTAATGAAATTGAAATACATAGTATTGAAAAAATCCATATTTTGGGGGGGTACCCCCACATATGTGAATTCTGAGTGTAGGTCACAATTTGCAATTCACCTTCTATTTAGCTGTCTATTCTCTCTCCTGGAAAATAAGCCTTGGAACTCTGAAGTGCCATATCATGTCTGGTTACTCCGACACCACTATTCTGGAGAGACTATGTGAGATAGCCACATATGGATAGGAAGAAAGGCCCTTCACCTGTTTGAGCCTTTCCAGGGAAGGCACCAGACACATGAATGCACAAATCTTCCAGAGATTGCAAACTCAGCTACCATAGGACAGCAATTCTGATAGAGATTTGGGAACTACTCAACTGAGGTGTTTCAAAATACCCAATATTCAGAAACTGGGAATGATAATAAATGTCTGTTGTTTTGAGCCACTAAATTTGGAATGATTTTTTCCCAGCAATAGATCATTAGAATAAGGATGGAGAGAGAAAGATGTCTATTGGACCTGGCAGCATGCAGATCCTCGATAACTTTAGCAAGATGTATGGACACTAGGACTAGAAGTCCAGTTGGCACCATTACTGGGAGTCAAAAGGAGTAGACCTAAGTAGTAACTAGGATCTGAATAACAGTTACTCACTTTTTAAAATCTGCCTGGGTTTCTCTCTAATTCCATAGCTACTGTCATAGCTCAAGTCCCTATCACTTCTCATTTGTACAATCACAATAATTCCTTACATGAGTTGATTTCTATCTCCAACCACCTCTTTGGGAGGCAGCATAGCACTACAGTTAAGAGCATAAGCATACTCCATTGAAGAGATTTCTGGAGTTTGAGTCCCACCTCTGCTACTTACTAGTTGGGCGACCTTGAAAAAGTTAAATAACTCTGGACACCTCAACTTCTTTAGGAAATAGGTATGGCAGGGAAGATTTCCACCCAAGTCCTACTCATTCCAGCACAGCACTCTTATACAATTAGCATAATTAAAACTACCGCTAATATTTATTGAGCTCAGGGCAAGAATACAAATGAAGGCCCACATACCATGAATACACATTAAATAGTGACTAATCAAGGTAACAACAAAAACTTGTTCTGTTCTTCTACCTTGACAAATATATATTAATAATGACAGGATTTCTAAAAATGTATAAAGTGATTTTATGAAATAAAATATCACGATAGTTGGAGGTATTATTGTACATGCCTGGATATTGTGTGGCTATGGTGGGACATTTATATGAATAATAAAATCAAAGATTGTATAACTAATTCATTATTGTATATTTATAACATACAATTAATTAGTGTTCACTTTTATGCTAGTGAAACAACAGATTGGATTGTTATAATCAAGATTTTTATATGATATGTTTGGTGGAGAATAATGATCTAAATAATTAAATGAAAACTAATAATATTAAAAGTATGACATTTGAATACATTCTCATTGAAATGTAAAGTAAAGCATGAAGAGGATAAAACATTAAGATTATTTTTCATCTGCTGCAAAAAAGTAATATTTCTTTAAAAATATTCTAGATTATCAATTAACAATAAGAGTAAAATTATGATCAACTAGTTTCAAATTTTAAATGAAAATGA